CCCCCATCAAAAATACTTGGTTTAAGTATTGGTGGCTGCTTTTTGGTGAAGTTTTTTTTTTAAATATATCTCTTTTAATCATCATCATCAAAAAAAAAGAAAAAGAAAAAAAGAAAAGGGGGTGGGGAAGGCAAAAACTTTGGATCCATCCCAGTAGTTATACTGGGTTATCACTGGACCCCTGGCAATCCTCCGATGCCAAAATAATTCATTTTTAAAATGTACCTCCCCTGACAGGAAAACTATCTAGAAAGCTAATTTCTCTCTTTCGCTTTGAGAAATCATTAGAAACTATCCCACGGAACTTCTTAGAAAGACCAAAGCCGCTTCTCTTTCTTCTCACCTCTTGGAAATGTTGCTCAAATTTCCATAGCTGCAAATACTGCTCCATCTTCAGCTGATGTTTCTCCCAGAATCCGTCAAAAGCGGTTTCCATCTCGTGCAGTTGGGTGAGTAAACTTTCCTCGCAGGAGCAAACAAAGTCAGTCACTTGGCAGATCTGTGCATGTTCCTCAGTGTCTTCTGTCCTAGATCTATCCAGAGGACTCAAAGGGATTTACCCACAGCTACATCTAGTATGGGACCCATCCAGAGAGTCCAGCTTGGCCTTGATATCAACCAGCTTCAAGATTACATAGCCTTGAGATTTATGCCCCTCTTAAGTGAAAATGGCCTGACAGTTTTTCTAAAGTTTTACAAGACTCTGGGAAAAGCTGCTGATTCATCAAAAACTGCTAAAATAACAGCCAGAAAGTGACATAGGAACACAGTACACCCCCTTATATAAAGAAGAAGCAAAGAACTGGTGTTTTCCATTCTTTCTGGCCCATCTCTTTCCAGGATCTCCAGCAAAGACTGCCCACCTACCCCTCTCCAATTAACCTACTACTCTGGATCCTTTTCCTTGCTGTATGAAGGAGCTGAACTGGATCTGCATGGCTGTGTTGGACTCCTCTAGCCTTAACTCAACAAACACAAACTGGAGAGAGGCCAGAAGGAATGGCGAGAACAAGAACAAATCTTTTGTCAGCAGAGATGGGCCATGAAATCTTTACTCTTGGCAATTTACAGGGACCTATGAATTCAAGAGAGTTTAAACCTCTTTTAGCCACATGCTTGCCTTAGTCTTTGTGGCAGATTATATCTCCTAAGATTACTTCTCTGGGTCAGCCAATGTTCACCTGACACTCTCCTTCACATTGGGAGGCTCCGCCTGAATTACTAGTTACCCAGCCTAAAACCGAGCTTCAGGCTCATGACACCCACCGATGAACAGTCTCCCAGTCACCCGATCTCTCTTGTGGCTGCTCCTCTCCCAGATCTTCCATGTCTGGATCTTCTAAACTACACAACAACATCTTTCCCTCTTTGGTTACTGTGGTGATGTCTTCCTGCAAAAGATAGCAAAGCTCTTCTGATCCAGATGTCCCCAACCACCGTGAAGTTTGTTCTAAGAGGGATAGCTAGGCCACTTCCAACAGATTTCATGTCAAAACAAACCCCTCAAACATCACCTCTTCCTGTGGGAACACAATCTAAACAGATCCAACTTCTTTGGATTCATCACCACCTCACATTTCCTCTCCTTTGCTCTGTTCTCCTACCCTTGATGTGTAGCTTGTAAGCGTCTCGCAAGCAGGGACCTTCTAATCTTTGCCAATTCTGCAAAGTGTCATTTATCTTGAGGATGCCAATAAAATAAATAGATCATTTAAGAGGAGCTCACATCCAATTCAAGGCATCTTAAAAAGCACAGGCTTCATTGTTTACATCAATCAGAATAGTACTAAAACAACCGGGTGGTGTCTAGAAGAGGCTGGTAAAGATACTGAAGGATTTAGGGGTGAAGATCCTGTGAAGGTTGGACTTGGGTATATGGGAAAGGATAACCTGTTCTCTGTTGCCAAAGATCCATACTGATCCAGTTTATCAAGAATGGCATTTTTGATTAAATACTAGTAATTAAATTAAGTAAATATTACTTAAAGTAAATATTTACTTTAAATTGTGAAGCAGGTTTCCTTGAAGATGGCAGGTGCCCTCTCAGCTCACAGGTTCTAGGAATTGCTCTGGAGAATTATTGCAAGAGACCCGCCAGATATTTTTCCCCTTGTCTTCTTCTGAACACCCAACTTGGTGGCTTTTAGCTAGTAAACAATGGTTTTGCTTTAGCAGGAAGTGGAAACCCTGCCATTACAGTCGGTAAACCATGCTTCATGGGTCAGCGTGTTCTGCAAGCCCAACTCCCCCAGCCTTACTCAACAAACTAGGGTTCAGCAAGCCAGGGTTTACCATGGCTGACGAACTGAACCCATGGCTGAGAGTGGTAAACTTAATGCAGCAACACAAGGGAAGCAAGAAAATGGGTACAATTTCTTTCAACTTGCCTTTAGCTGATAGTATTTCTCTGTCCGCAGGGCCAGGATGTGCTCAATGGAATACGTTTCGTCCGGGAGTTGTGTTTCGGCCAACTCCATGCCGAAAGACTGCAGCATCTGAGCGGTTTCCTTCACTGTGAGTGCAAAGCTTTCTATAGCCTAGCAAGCAGACATTTTTGGTTTAGGCATTTATTCAATACAATGGAATGAGGTTCCCCCTGAGATCCTGATGGACCCCACCCTACTGGTGTTTCGAAGGGGCTTCAAGACCTAGTCCTTCTCCCCTTGGAGTGAAGCCCCCTTGGATTGTGTGGGTCTGGTTCTTTTTTTAATTCTTGTCTGGTTCCTGGCATCGTTGCTATCTTTTATTCTTTGCTTTGGTTTCTTAATTGGTTTTTTTAAAAACCATTTTACTTTTGAGATGCCCAGGGTCAATGGGAGTCAGGCGGCATAGACGTTTAATAAATAAATACAGCTCCCTGGGATAGATTTCTAATGGGACTCCCTCTTCCCAGAAAGCTTACTGGGGTGCAGCTAAGCGGAAGAAATCTGCTTTGCTTGTGCAAGATTGCAAGTTCAAATCCTGGCGTCTCCCTCCAGTCCCAAAGGATTTTGGTTTCCAGACCATGAGGAACACGTCTTATTTGATAAGCAGGCAGGGCTGCATAGATAAATACCCACCCACCCCAGTTAGATTTTAGGAAATATTAAAAATGAACTGCTGAAGAAGGCTTTGGACATCTGAATGCAATCTCCTAAATTGTTTTTTTTCCCCCTTGGCGTTTTTCTTGGTTTTTGTTTGAACCTACATTTTTGAGGTTCTTTTAGACCACTTGCTTTGATTATATCATGGATATTTCATTATAAATTACTGATTATAACCTGCCATGGTTAGACTGATCAGAGCAGGTTAAAATCAAATGAAACAAAAAAGAAAAAAGTGTTTACAAGGGAGACAGGTCCTCTCCAGAGAGATTTGTATCAGGCTCATTTAATTCAATTTATATTATGCCTTTCTACCCAAGATAGCACACAGAATGCCCCATCTTCAGTGTTAATCCTGCCCTGTTGAGCTTCCAAGCTTGACCTGAACCCAGGTTTCACTTGATCCTAGTCCATCATGAAATCACTAGCAATAATGGAAGGAAGAAACTCAGGTTTTAAAGGCTAACAAATGAAATCAGCATGAATTTCTAAAGCATCTATCTATCTATCTATCTATCTATCTATCTATCTATCTATCTATCTATCAAAAACATCTTCTAAAATACTTTAAGAATAGAGGCACGTTTTTATATAAGCAGAGTTTGGCCACATCCTTCAATTCTACCCAGATTAGACAAGGCTGTCCCAGAGGGTAACCTCATAAACCCAGGATGTTAGTATAAAATTATGAATGTTTTAGACTAAAAAGGGATTATGTACCGTCCTGAAGATGACCCATTCGCTATGGCAGTACTCCAAAGTGCCTCCGAATTCAGGTGTCAACTGCTTTTCATCGATGTATGTCAATAACTCACTGACAGAGCTCAGCATTACAACCTAGAGAAGGGGGGGGGGGGAGAAAAGGCAATCACTAGTCCTAATGAAGTCCATTTTGCACAGGACTAGAAACTTGATTTGACAGAACACTGCAGGTATTTCATGAATTAATTGGATTCAGCCTGAGGAGGAAGAGAGGGAGACAATTTGGGACACCAAGATCAGGATCGTGCAAGCCATGTTATTCCCTGTGATATTCTAAGGAAGCGAAAGTTGGACTTTGACGAGGCAGGATAGGAAGAGTATTGACTTTTTTGAACTTTGGTGCTGGAGAAGACTCCTGAGAATACCATAGACAGCCAAGAAAAGAAACCAACGTATCATTGAACAAATCAACCCAGAATTCTCACTCAAGGCACCAATGACCAGGCTCAAATTGTCCTACTTTGGACACATTATGGGAAGACCTAGCTCTCTGGAGAAGGCTCTGATGCTGGGAATGGTGGAAGGAAGAGAAGAAGAGGATGACCAGCAGCAAGGTGGAGGGACTCAAGTTATGGTGGTGATGGGTGCACCTTTGGAAGATCTGAAGGTTGGGAACAGATCATCAACCACAAGAGTCAACACTGACTGGATGGCACGTAATCATCATCAATCAGAAAATTCAGAAGAAATCACTGAGCTGGAAAAATCTGAGCTATAAGCTCACATATTACAACTCAGTCTCCAATTCTCTCTCTGCCCTGAGCTGTGGCAGACCCAGCCAAGAGAAGGGATCATAACTCAATTCTGCTTCTGTTTCCTTCTTCCTTCTCTTGTGTAAGGGAAGATGTCTTTGGCCAAGGATGTCTCAAGCTTCATGTAATTCATGCTGATCACGCCGAATGAAGGGCAAAGGGAGCACCGTCTGCCCTTGAAGATATTACCCACAGCACATCTATTATAATTAAAAATGGCGTGATGAGAAATAGCCCAAAGGCTCCCCACCTCACACAGGTTAAAGTCACCAAATTCCAAAGCTGCAGCATTAATGCGATGCAACTCCATGGGGGTCTTACCGGCAGCTTGAGAAGAAAATCCTGCTGGCTAAAGCGGAAGCCAATGTCGGTAAAAGTGCGCTGAAAAAAACCGGTGGGGCGCAGGACCATCACGAGGTGGAGATTGCCAGGAAAAGAAGTCTGGAGTTAGAAAGACAGACAAACAAATGTCATTCTGCCCCATAATAGCCAAATCCCAAATCCATCACAGAGAGAATTTTCTATGGCTGGAAGAAAAGTTTTAGCAAATTAGCAGCACATCCTGTCCTTTCATTCTCAGCCCCAGATGAACTCTTCTGCGGGATCCAGAGAAAGGCATAGAAAAAAAAAATGTCTTAAGAAAACATTTTTGTTTTCAGCAAGGTTTTAATGTTGGTTCCGTCCCTCTCGTGAACACTTTTGCAAAGGGATGCTAATGATCGCGAATTAAAGTTTTGCATCATTTGCAATTGATATTGTACCCCAGTGTGGGATCCCACACCTGAAATCTGGACAGAAACGCACATTCTCCTTTCACCTGCTGTGGCTCAATATTTCAGCCCTTCTGTAATGAAGCAAAACACCGTTTGACTCATTTGCTGTTTGAATTCTGCTTTTAACAAAGTTTTACTGCCGTATCGTTTGTAGAACGGTGCTTTGATCCTGCAGGCTGCCTCGACAGGGAACAGAAAAGGCAAAAGCAAGATTGAACTAAGTCCCCTATTTTTCCCAGGACACAAGAAATCTACTTCTGGGTTAGTGGAACGTGCAAATGCAGTCCTGCCTGTGACTGTGTGGAACCAACAGCCCTCCAGATGTGGCAAACCACGACTCCCAACAGCCCCAGCCAGCACGTTCAGTGATAGCAGACGTTGGGAGTTGCAGTTCAGCAACATCTGGAGGACCATCTTCTCACTCCAAAGTGGATCAACAGAACCTATTGGAGAAGAAAATTTTTAAAAGACATGGAGCATCTTATTGAATTGCATCTAGAAATTGACAGGCAGTAGAGAGAGGATGATTTGGAATCCAGGACAATTTTTCCTGCCCCAGCTCTGCTTCTTGGGTCCTCTCTTGTTGAAATCAGCAGTGACGGTCTGCTGCACGCTCTTGGGGTGTACCAAATGCTCCTAGAGGACAGGACCCATTTGCTGCAACCCATCTGCCATTTTTCCAACCTTAATCAGACTACAATAATCAACTGGACCTTGATACACTTTTTTTTAAACAGCTGATCCCTGCAATACTGAAGATGCCCTTTATCCACCGTTGACTGGTCTCTTCCAAAGACATAATTGCAACTTGAAATCCAGTCCTGACCAGGAGCAGGAGAGCTATGCCCCTTGGTGCTCCTTTGCAGTGCAAAATCCTAAAGATTCAGTGCTACATTCACAATACCTACTGCATGCCCATCCTTGACTTTTCTCCAAAGGGAGATTATGCTGTTCGATCTTCACAACAACTCTATGAGGACAGCTAGACTGACAACTCAACTGATTTGGTACTACAGATGGGTGTGTGGGGTTTTAAAACCCTCATCTGCTGAGCCCAATCTCTCGTTCTATCATACCTGGTGTCTTCCAGGTTATGTGGGTCAGCAACTCCCATCCTCCCCAACCACACCAATGAAGATTCAGGAGGCCATTCCAGCCAGCTGCAAGGTTCTCAAGACTGAGACTCATCTTCTTGATCAAACACAGCAAGGCTTTTAGAACAAAAATGAAAACGTGTCCAAGCTAATGGACAAGGCTACTACGTTGGTTCTCAATGAGAAAGGATTCAGTTGCTGGAATACTTGTCCCTTTCTTCTCAAGAAACCTTGCTCATGAGAATGTAGACTCAGTTTTAGGCTGCCAGAGTTATGCACCGGCTATGGGGAGTCATGGCTGTGCAGGCTGAGGATGATGGGAGTTAGGAAGGTGCCCATTGCAGAGTTCTAGATCACCCAGGTTCATCAGCACACCAGGCCTGGACCACGCAGCTATTTGGTACCTGTGACCTCTTATGCGATGCAACGGGTTATCCGTGGTAGCAACACCAAAAAGAGCTCTACAACACTCCTTGTGATGGTCTGAAAGTGATCTACAAACTTTTAAAATAAAGCCATAAATGACTAAATACCTTCAGAGAAACTCAGTTAAACTTGCTGTGGGTAAATCAGAACACTACAACGTCACCCGTGAATTATCAATCCGTAATTCATTAATAGTACAGCCCTGCATAATATTAGAATGTATTGTACCGATTGTGGGAAGAAAGGGAGTTTGGAAGGTGGGCGTAACAGCAGTGCATGATCTCGCTCACTAGCTGCTTCCCCACGAGCTCCATCCTTGCCACCCAAATGCACCACACTCCCAAGAGCTATTTTTAAGCAGGCCTAAAATAATGAACAAATGCAAGTGAATGGCCAATGTGTCCAATTTAAGCCAGTGGGAATTCTGCCAGGTGGCTCTTTCAATCATTTGCAGCAAGGGAGAAAACAGGTAAACTAAGCCAGCCGCCTTCATCAGTAATTATTCTCTCTCCCCCTTCCTTCTTTCCTCTTCTCTCTCTCTCTCTCTCTCTTCCTTCCTTCCCCTTCCTTCCTTTCTTCTCTCACTCTCTCTCTCCTTCCTTCCTTCCTTCCTTCCTTCCTTCCTTCCTTCCTTCCTTCCTTCCTTCCTTCCTTCCTTCCTTCCTTCCTTCCTTTTTTCCCCTT